AGGAACGATATTGTCCATTTTCGCACCTGGTCTAGCACTTTTACAAATATTAGGATTTACAAAGTTAAAGCAAAATCGGATCATCCTTTCTGTTTCTGTGCAGAATTTCGACCCTTTGTGGGGGAGGTATCAGAAGGAGTTTACCCATATTGTCCATTTCCAAACTCAATCTAAGTTTGATAATAATATTACGATGTACCAAGTTTGGACTAAATCGGATACTCCCTTCGAATGTTATATTGCGCACCAGCCAGTCAGACAGACAGATGGAAGAACACCCCTAGACAACCCCTGTCCTGAAACGAATTTGGTCGCAAGAGACCTAAAGTCTAAAACCGTTATTTCGATGAGTCACGTTTTGGTCATATGAAATGATATATATGCCATATGACTGAGGGAATAAAAGAGCCCATTCACCAAAAAAAAAAATCTGCGTTGCACTAGGTCATTCGGCTTTAATTCTTCCCCCATGCGGAATTTTGAAAGGCTTCATACCTAAATTCTTACGCAACATGTTCCACGTTGTTGAGTAACAGAGGCTCAATTGCTGCGAACGGCGACGAATCGATACTAGATGGTAATCCATAATACCATAGATGTCCTGCCAAAAATGGTGATGTATATGACATTCTTTTCCGACGTATCATACATGCGTCGAAAAAGTCGTAAACATAGACAAATAATAACGGTGTTTTGACAGAATCATGGTGATTTAATATTTTTCAACATTTTTAGAAGTTTATGACGTTTTAAGCTTTTTCTACGTTTTATGCAGGTAAATGACGTTTTCGACGTTTACAACTTTTCGACTCTCGAAAACCTAAAAACCTGTCGAACGGACCATCTCTGATTAATACTGACCGATACAGCTGCGATTTTTTCTTTAGTTCGCAGTCTACGTAAGTGGGCTTGGTGGTTTTTGGGAGCTATATCCAAAGCTGTATGCGATGTCTCTTGACAAATGTAATTTATTCTAGTCGAAGGATGATCGCATGATCAATGGGAATTTTTGTAACGTGCCCAATTAATGCGTTTTACCACCGGTACCTGCATGTATTTAATATTTTGATAATTTTTACAACGTGTTCCAAATTTTAAAGCAAAAAAATATCTTCATATTTCCAGGACAAACTTGGAAGATGGAGATAGCCTCCATATTACGTTTCCACCTTATTTTCAGTGTTTTGATCACTTTAGCCACATTTTTCAACGGAATTGTTTCGTATTGACGGTTTTAACTCACAATTTGGTGGCATTTGCAAATAGCACTTGTTTGAATATTAAATCCAGATACAGGGTTGCCCATATTCGACGGACCCATCTGGCAACGCCATAACTTTTGACAGAGATGTCACATCGCTTAATGACATACCGCGTTTGAAGCGTCAGTCCAAGCAGATTTTTACCATGAACCAATACACGCCACGCGAGCGCATTGAAATAGTTGAAATTTACATTCAACAGAAGAAGTCAATTGTGAAAACTCAAAGTGCTTTTAAAAAATGTGAGTAGTGCGCCTTCTAAGAACAGCATTAAGCGTTTATACGAAAAAATTTCGACTGGTAAGGCTCTTTCTAATCCGAAGAGGCCATATAAAAGTCGACCAAGGCGATCGGCCGAGAATATCGCTGCCGTACGAGCCAGTGTTGAGAGGTCCCCAAGAACATCCCAAAAACGCCGTTCTCAGCAGTTAGGCATGGCTCGGTCCACTTTACAACGGATTATTCGCATTGATTTGCATTTGTTCCCGTATTTGTTTGTTGCCTGCGGACAAGCCTCGTCGATTGGAATGGATCCAAAGGTCCGTCGAATATGGGCAACCCTGTACTTGTATTTTTAAAATGTCACTTTACCTTAAAGAATGGGGCATTAAAGGTCCGCCCTGCCCAAACTTTACGCTCTTGCTTGTTATTACTATCAATTACTAGATGTTTTTGTTGTCAAAAAATTCAAAACTGTATTGACGTTTTCTTGTTATTTGTAATAGCGACTGCCCTTTATGAGTCGTAACGATTTTCAAAAGGCGTGCGTATTTACTTCCGCTCAATTGCATCTGCTTAACACTCCACTAATTTAAAAATGCTAATTTTTCCAAAGCAACCCCTACACTCAGAACTGCAAGAAACATTGTGGACAAAGCGTGAGAAAACTGTTAAAGATCTGTTGTTGCAGTTGGCTCCGCTGTTATGTTATTGTGGGAAATTTTAATACCTGTTGATTGCATGCAGCTCACATTCATTGGGGCTCTCTGATGTTAACAACAAAAGGGGAATATTAAATAAGGCGATTGTATGGAAAACACTACCAAACAAAAAGAGAGAGAGAGAGAGATAAAAATTCCTCACATGATCGTTGTTGCCACATGAATTTAGTGGAAATTATTTAAATTAATAATGAAAGTCAGGTAGAAGCAGAATCGTAGTATATTTTTATTTAATTTTTATACCCTCCATCATACTGCGGAAATACTCATGTTAGACCCAATAAAGTAGTTATATTCTTGAACAGCATAAAATTCTAAGTCGATTTAGCAATGTCCGTCTTTATGTTGTGATCACGCTATCTTTCGAACGAATTGAGATAGAAGGTTAAAATTTTGCACATATGTGTAGTTTGCCAGTAAGCAGGTTAAGTTCGTAATTGGGTCATGTCGGTCTACGTTTTCGTATAGCCTCCATATAACGGCACCTCCAGATATTTAGTATTTTGACGATTATAGCGACATTTTCCCCAGGATTGTTTTAAATTTCGTATTTAAAATTCGTAATGGGAACTACAACCTATGACGGAAAATTGTCTATTGTCCCATATAACGGCACCTCCCTTTATTTATTATTATTTTCATTTGAGCGTTATTTTATGAAAAATTTTCAAGTTCTTTCAAAATAGTGGAGAGTATTAGAAGTTCGGCTTGCCGAACTTAGCTGCCTCTTACTTGTTTTTGTATTTATTTTTCAAACCATTAATTATAAACGCAATATTGGCAAAAGTCGGACACACTCAGAAAAAATGGCACCATGGTAGAAGGTAATGGAAATGTCACCTGAAACATCAAAGCATAAAAACGCACTTCCACCAAATAGTTTTAACATACCAGCCTTGCTTCCAGTAACTATGACCACAGAAAATATATTCATTTTAATAAGAAACACATTTTATTAAGAAAACTTTATTTGATTTGTGTAACAGGTGCATTTGCAAGTCCCTTTAATAAGAGATTTTTATCGATAAAAACAAATCTTTATCTTCGCGCCAGCCAACCAGATCGACAGATGGACGAACGGACGTCCTTGCCTTCCTTAGATCGACTCCAACTGCCCTAAAACTGATTTGGTCCAAAGAGACCTATGGTCTAAAACTCTTGTTTCGATGTGGATATATACTCTCTGCAGCCATATGATTGAGGGTATAAAAATAGTTCTTTAAGGTTGACAATACAGGGTGATATGAAAAAACTGCAACCAATTTCAGACTGCTACCATTTTTAAGCCACTCGTCCAACAGCTGTTAAAATTATTCCAGTGACAGCTCCTTATATTGTTTACAAGCGTACAAAAGCATTTTGGTGAGAATTTTCAAGAAAAAAGTTAGTCGTGATGGAATTCAAGCGTGATAGTGTGATTCCTTTATATTTGACTGAAAAACCACAAGTGGCTATCGTTAGAGCACTCCAGCATTTCAATGTGAACAAATCTTTTGTGTCTCGTACCATCGCTCGTTACCGTGTTACTGGTAGCGTAGTCCGACGTCAAGGAAGTGGACAGAAGAAAACAGCAACATCAGCAGAAATGATTCGAAAAATTAATAAGCGACTTGATCAAAACCCGCGTCGCAGTGGCTGAAAAATGGCTCGTGAGCTAAACTTATCGCAATATTCCATTCGGCAAATATTGAAAATTGAGCTCGGGGTAAAGCCACTGAAATTCCAAAAGGTGCAAGAACTTACACCGCAACAGAAAACAGACTCAGTAGAGCTAAGGAGTTGCTTCGCTTGGCCGAAAGTGATAAACTGCAGAATTTGGTTTTCTCCGATGAGAAAACATTCGTTTTCCAGCAGTTTGCCAAAGAGGTCAGCTGAAAATGTGCACCTTCGGTTGTCAAGCGTGGCCATGGTGATGGTGTGGGCCGCCATAACAGCCGATGGGCACTCTCGGCTTGTATTTATCGACCGTGGCATAAGAATAAATGCCGAATATTATCGCGAAAATATTCTGGAGGGTGTATTAAAGCCTTGGGCACGTAAACATTTTGACCGCAGACCTTGGACATTCCAACAGGATTCAGCACCATCGCACTCAGCACGTGACACCTATGAATGGATACCAATCCAAAATCTTTGGATACCAATCCGTTGGACTATTGTTTATGGAGTATTTTGGAAAGCAAGGTTGACACTAAAAAATTCCAAAGTATTGATCACCTCAAGCAAGCGCTTCGCCGGGAATGGGCCAAAATACCGCAGAGCAACATTCGGGCAGTGTGTGACGACTTCATTGGCCGTTTGAAGGCCATAATTCATGCCAAAGGTGGCCAATTCGAACAAATCTAAACTTAATCAAAAATTTGATGATATTTTCGACATTTGTTGCTTTCATTCAATAAAAGTTAAAAAACAATGTAAAAATTATGGCGTTTGACTTTGTTGCAGTTTTTTTATTTCATCCTGTATATGTAGGTATCAGTTGGTCTTACTTATCGACCTTATTATTGAGCCATAAATCATGCCATGTCAAAACTAAAGTGAAGTTACCAAGTTACCACTTTTGGTAGAATATTACCAACTGTGGCAACCGTAAACATAACAGTGAGATCACTGTGAGAGCTAGCCAACTCTCTTACAAAGAGAATGCTTTGTTGGGGAGAGAGAGAGCCATTGTTATGGTCAAATGATATTTGTTGCCTGTGCTGTGTGGCGTTTGGTGAGGTGGGCTTTTTCATAAACAAAAGAAACAACTTTTGTGCCAAAGAACTTTATGCTTTGCCTGTACGCTTTTCCAGGCAGTTTATTTAGTTAATAAAAAACGTGCAACTGGCAAAGACGTATCGACGTCGTGAGACCTTGTCGGAACTGTGGTGAATGCGTAATGCGATGATGCATGCTACCAAACAGCAAAAGTGGTGATTGGTGATGACAAAAGAAAAATTTCAAAAATTATATTGTTTTTGTTACCAAAGGAAGCGTATATATGTAGATATTTTCCAAAAAAAAAAAATACAAACATACATACATGTGTTTTATGAATATGTCGAATGTGGGCTAAGACAAATTGCCGCCATTGTTGTCTCATGCATAATTTAAGATATTTCTATTCAAATGGTCAGTGTTGTGAAACAACCTTAGAATTTTATGACGAATGTCACTGAGAAAGTGTGATGGAAAGTAAAAGAATCAAATAAAACAAATGAATCAAAATCCAAGTGTCAAACAAAAGAAAAAAATATAAAAAAATTGTGCAGAAAAGAAAAAAAAAAATAAAATACAATAAAAAAAGAAATCAAGAAAAAAATCGCTGACGTCTTGTTGCAAACAATAAGTGATTGCCGGCATTTGTGAGACGTGCGCTGAATTAATAGAAATTTTGAAAAAAAAAGAAAAAAAAAATAATTATAGCTACAAATAGCTGCACAATTAATAACATCAAAATGGATTCTTTGGATGTGACATCGCCGGCAAATGCCTCACCGCCAGATTTTGATTTTAATCTGCCGTGTCGGTTCTTTAAGAGCTCATTTGCTCGATCACTTTCACTCAACAACAGTAGCAGCAACAATCATTGCAAATCTTTGGATTATGACATACGTTCTAGCAACAACAAAAGCAATAATAACGACAATAATAATGGAAATAGTAGCAGCGGTATTCCACCTCCAATACCGCAAAAGCGTTTTACAACGCAAGACAGTTCTTCTTCAAACCAAAACAACCAGAATGAGGCCACCATCAACAACAACAGCAACAAACCGGTTGGTATTAATACAACCAACGATATTACCAACAAGAAAGCCACCGCCAATGATAAGCCTCCGGCTTTGCCAGCAAGACGACCACCATTTTCCAGCAATGGAGCTGGATCACTTCAGCAACAGCAGCAGCAAAATATGCAAGCTTCTTTGACACAATTACGCCAACAGGCCTTCAATCAGGCTTTGAGCCATTCTAATGCGCCAGTGTTGCCAGTAAATGTAAATGCCGCCGCATCTAAGGCTGGCTTGCGAGCCAATCATCATCAGCAACAACAACAACAACAACAGCAGTTGCAATTTAATCAAAATCTTATCAATCACTTTTCCGGCAACTCGAATGGCCACAACGACAGCATTTGCAGCAGTGCCAGTAGCAGCAGCAGCGGCAGTAACAACAGCAACTTTAGAAGGAATATCATCGTCTGGCCGAATAACCAACAACAACAACGGAATGTGGAACAGGTTAGTCATGCTTTTACTTAAACTAGGCCTACAATTTTCTTCATTTTTCCATTATCTCCATTCATATTTTTTTTGTTTTCTTTTTATTTTGGAATTTTTCAATTCTTGTTTTTGTTTTTCTGTGAAGGCACTTTCATGCCTCTCTGTCAGTATTTCCGCTGAATGTGAGAAAAAACAACAATTGTTTTTATTTTTTTTTTTTTTTTTTTTTTTTTTTTGAAACGATTGAATATTATTTTCTTTGTAGAGCGTTGCATGAATGTGTTCAATGATAGATTTTGTATCCTATGATGTTTATACCCTCAAGGCTTATTTGCACCTAACAAGTTTTCGTAAAACGCGTAAATTAGATTGTCAATTTCCTTGACTAATTTTCAGTCGAATCGATTGAAATATATGGCCAAGACCCTTGCTATATAACATGCCAATGTCAGCTTATTAAAACATATTTTGACTTTCATTTATATTTTTATACCCTCAGCCATATGGCTAGAGATATGGCCAAAACGTGCCTCACTAAAATAACGGTTTTAGGCCCTGGGTCTCTTTGGACCAAAACCGTTCATCCTTCTGCTTGGTTGGCTGGCTGGCTCCAAACTTGATACATCCTTAGTATAGGATGTTCCTTCTGAAACATCCTTCACAACAGAGCAAAATTTAAAAAAAAAATTCCATCAAGTACCTCCCCCGAAGATGGTAAAAATTTCGAATAATTATGGCTCTAACTTTTTATAAAATAATTTAAAATTTTTCGAAAAGTTCGCGTTCTATGAGAGTTATAATTATTTAAAATGTTGACTCGTTGTGCGGGAGGTATCACAAGGAGTGGGCCGATATCTACCATCTTTACACCTGATCTTGTTTTAGTATGAATATTGTAGTGTGTGAAATTTGAAGAGAATCTAATGCTCATTTCGCGTTTTACGAGCTTCAAAATGTTGATTTTTTGTGGTGGAAGTAACAGTAATAGATTGATCTATTCTATCTTTTCATCAGATCGTTAGTAAAATATTGGAATGTGTGAAATTTCAATTTCAAGAGAATCAGATGCTTATTTCGTATTTTATGAGAGATATAATTATTCGAGAATTTGACCCGTTCTGGGGGGAGGTACCAGGAGGAAATCCGTTACATCCCATCTTCACACCAGATGTGTGAAATTTAAAGAGAATCTGATGTTTATTTCGTATTTTATGAGAGATATAATTATTCGAGAATTCGACACTTTCTGGCGGGATGTACCAGAAGGAGTGGTCTGACATATTCCACCATCAAACCGGACGGAGAGAGAGTCGGATACCTCTAAATCGACTACAAATGCCCAAAGATACCTAGAGTATAAAACCGTTATATCAATGAGGCACGTATTGGCGTATCAAATGACATATATGCTCTGTAGCCATATGACTGAGGGTATAAAAGAGAAGACACGAGTATCGACGTTTTGAAAGTTTACATTGAAAAGTAGCCAGAATAGAGGGGGCAAGTTTCCCTTTTTTCACACTTTTGGAAATTTTCGAGTTAAGATTCCTCGAAATTTGTGTAATTTACATATATGCCTTATATTCCCAAATGATTTCAGATAATCGAATTTTTCCGATTTTCTAATCACAATGGGGTTGGCGGTAGGGAAACTGTATGAAACCATGGTAGCTGCGTTATTGAAGTGAATGAAGTGAAGTACTTTGATAAAATTTTATTAGAGGTGTGTTAAGGCTGCAGGACTTTTGATATTGAAAATGTAGGTCCACGTTTTGGTATAGCCCCCATATAACTGCATGATAATAGCTGGCTTTCTCAACAGAATTATCATAAATATAAATAGTACCATATTTGGCGCAATTTCGTATTGGGTGAACAGATACCGCTTGAAATCTGGTATCGCTGTTCATGTGCAGCCTGGTCACATGGAGGTGGTTTCGGAAATGTGTACTACAATTATACGAAAAGTACTGAGTGGTATTAAATTTGGTCTTGGTTGAAGGGAGAGATAAATGAGATTACTGTTGGTTTCCAGCGTTTATATATGGAGACGTTGAAATAATTTTGAATATGATTTTAAGGTACACTTGTTGAAATAGCGGGTCCTTGATAGTGTAATATATCCTGAAAGCAGTGCGTTCTCAAATTTCCATTGAGTTTATTTTTGAATAATGTATAATTTCAAAATTTCGTCATTTACTGGGTTCCCATCCATATATTGAAAAAGAGTGTGCCGCCTTCAATTTTTATCGTTTACTCTTTAATTTGCTCTACAGTTTTACTAGCTTTTTAAAAATTACTAGTTATACCCTCCACCTTGGAAAGGAGAGTATATTAACTTTGTCATTCCGTTTGTAACATCCTTAAATATTCGTCGTAGACCCCATAAAGTATATATATTCATAATCAGCATAAAATTCTAAGTCGATTTAACGATGTCCGTCTGTCTGTCTGTCTGTCTGTCTGTTGAAATCACGATATAGCCCACATTATTTGACGCAGAGCGTCAAAATTTTGCAGAATAATTTGTATTGTGTCTAGGATGGTTGGTAGTGAAAATGAGATATATCCGTCCACGCTTTGGTATAGCCCCCATATAACGGTACCTCCGATTTTTGGTATTTTGAAGATTTTTGCAACATTTTTGCACGTATTTGTCTAAAAATTGGTATTTGTTGATCAAAATGGGTTTTAGCTCCTGTGGCAAAACATTGCATATATAGGTCCACGATTTGGTATAGCCCCCATATAATGTTTTTTTTTGTCATATTTTATTCACCGATTTGTCTAAAAATTGGTATTTGTTGGTCACAATGGCTTCTGGCTGCGGTGGCGAAACATTGTAGGTATAGCTCCCATGTAACTATACATCCAGATATTCGGTATTTTGATGATTTTTGCACATTTCTTCGCGGATTTGTCTAAAAATTGGTATTTGTGGGTCACAATGGGATCTAATGTTTCCTTTACTATAAGGTGGAGGGTATTAAAAGGTCGGCCCGGCCGAACTTAATGTTTTTTTACTTGTTACTAACACAAGATGTATTGTGAATATGACATACATCTGCCAATACCTTCTGGTACCTCACTCACAAAGGGTTACAATTTCCAATACTTATATCTGTCATAACTTGTGAAACAAGTCGGCGATACTTTACAACTTCCTATATCTAAATATTTCTCTGAACCAGAAATCTGATATGAATATGTAACTAGTCGGAATTTATAATTTTAATTTAATTGGATATAAATGTTCGATTTCCTTCAAATTTTGCATATACCAATATTTTTATCTGTATTAGATGAAGTATGAATGGAATACTTCGGTCCGCTATATATGTTAGCTCACGCATATTTCCTCATTTTTCAAAAATTTCCACATATTTCATAAAAAGTACAGAAAGTAGTCGATATAGTTCAAATCTGTCACTTTGTATGATTTTTTTCCAGTCTTAGGCCATACACGAATTGGTCAATATTGGGCAACTGTTTCAGAACCCTCCCATGAATAATCATAAGCCACGGCTGGGGGTATACATCTGCCGCCAAAACCGACTGATACTATATAACTTATTTTAACATAATCCTTATCGAAGTCATATCATGCAGCAATGTTATTTAGTTCAGAGTTGGTATGATCTAAATTCCCAATATAAAAGTGGTGTAGGGTATCATATAGTCGGCCCGCCAGACTTTTGAAATTTCCTTACTGTTTTTATGAAAAGTATTCCTTTAATGATGAGATTCCTTTAATTGATGAGATTGTTCATGAAAAGTAGTTTCAAGTTTTACTTTCCTCTCATGAAAATTATTCCTTTAATATCTCCTGAGTTTCCTGTACTGAAGGACACAACATTTTCGGGGCGTTTGGGTTTACTATTTTTCTTTAATTATTTTCAATCACTCATTTTTAACCATACCGAATTGACTACAACAAAGAAATTACATAATTGTGAAGCTTTATTTTCAAGTTTATGGTAGTTATGGTGGGAAAAATTACATAAAGTCTTAAATTGTTATGGAGTCATTTCGAGACACTTTTGTACTGAGCTAACAAAAATAGTATACAATTGTAAACAATTTGATATTTTTAGATGAAAGGCAAAAGAGGAGCCAGTAAACTGGTCTGATACCCCTACCACAACATCTGCGTATAATAAACCATGTAAATAAGCTATAAAAATCTGTTTAGGAGTAGCATATACGAAAAAGTTAGTATTTGAATAAAAGGGAGAAATTTTATGTTAAAATAAAGTTAGTTAGAAAAAAAAAAACAATTAAGGAAAGGTCAAAAGGTATGATACCCTACACCACTATGCGTACTTAGTACGAGTAGAGTATATGGGAATTTATGTGAAGTAGATCATACCACCTATGAACCAAATAACATAGATGTAAGGTACATGATATAACTTCGATAAGGATTTTATTAAAAAATATTTTTTGGAGCAATAGGTATACCGGACGGAGGTTCACCTATACAATCTATACATTTTGGGCTGATATTACATATATGGTGAGCAATAACCGTAAAATCGAACAAAGCTGTACATCGAAGCTAGCTAAAAATCGGAACATATCTCAATAAAATTTGTCATAGGTATTTTCGAGCTGTATCTGATGTCCGGTATCAAATATCATTGTTGTGGAGTGCATAGTACGCATGTGAGTGATTTAAAAATCGGATGAAACATAAATATGGGAGCTATGTCCAAGTCTGAACCGATTTCCTCCAATTTTAACGTACATACTTCTAGACTGAATTCGATCGGATGTGCCAAAATTCAGGTCATTTGGACCGATATTGGCCATTTGGTGCACAATTAACCCGAAATCGGTTGAAGATATATGGGATATATGGGAGCTATATATAAATTTGAACCGATCTTCACCAATTTCAATAGGGTTCGTCCTTGGGCCAACCAACTAAGTCACTGACCTTTGTTTAGTTGTGAAATATGTTTTGAATGTGTGTATTCGAATCGTTGAAAGAAATATTTAGATATAGCAAGTTGTAA